CTTGGGTGGTGAGTGAGATGTTTGAGGCCGATCACTGGGATTCGACCTTGTTGTGACTTTAAGCTGTATTGCCAGTGGTTGCACTCCAGCAAACTGTTCGAGTGCTTCGTCTGGTTCCGCTGCCTCTTCATGCTGTGGCGTCGTAACGTATTGCGGAGTGTCACCCATGGGCAGTGAGTGTAGTCGCTGCTCCTCTGCGTTCCAGTGTTTGTGGTTGTGGTGTGCCTGTTGGGTATATCTTCGTTGGTGTGATGGGAGGTGTTTGCTGCTGCGGTGCTTTGGGTGAGTAGTGCTCCGTCGGTGTGATTGGTGGCTCGGGTAATGAGTCGACTTGTAGTGGTGGTGCTGGCTGTTGTGGTGGGTTTGGCGTGTCGGTGAATTGCTGTATCAGTATTCGCGTGCTGGTGTGTTTCGTCGTAAGGTCGTCCTTCATGTCGTACTTCTTGTCGAGGACGTCGTCGAGATCGTCGTCTATGATGCCTTCAAGTTCATCTTGTCAGCGATTGACTTCGTCTTCCAATTGTGCTTGTTGTAGTTGTAGTTGTTGACGTTGTAGCCCTTCTTTTCCCTCATTTTCCATACGTGTTTCGATCTCGACGTGGCGGTCGATGCGCATCTCTTCCTCGATGTCGTGGTCGCGGTCTTGCACCGTTTGATCTTGTCCTGGATGGAGATCGCGTTGGTTTCTCTTGTAGTCTTCTTTTGCTTGTTGTAGTAGTGTTGTTAGCTCCGCTTCTCTTTCCCTGTGCCATTTTTTAGACTGCTCTTGTACTGCCATGTATGGGGTATTATCGTTTGTTGGTGCTGTGCGTATGCCTCCGTGCCTTGCTGGAATTATTCTGTATGTCGTTGCTGGAAGTGCCGGTTTGCCATCTTGAGTTACTCTGTCGCGCTTGCCATAACTAGGTGTGCTGCTTCTTGGTCGTTGTATCCGACCACTTGGTTGCTCTGTGCTTATTGGAGTCGTTGTGCTGTCGGCGTGGCCTTTTGTGCTGTGGCGACTTCATGGTCAAATGACGCTTATGCATGTGCTCATTGTGCTACGAATGTAGCGTGCTGCACTTCGTGGCTGTGACTGCATGGGATAGGCCTTGCTCAAAGTCATGTATGTCTTCTGTCCTGCCACCACCATGCACGGGCATTTTTGTGTGCGAGATATTTTTTCCTGTTGTAGACTGTAGTGTTGGTGGATTTGCTGACTTGGGTACTGCATGCGCTCTTTTGTTGATTGTAATGCTTTGAGTATGTCCTGTGCGTAGCTGCTGCTGGTTGAGAGTCGTTGGTCTAGTCGTGGTACGTGCTTTTTGCGTACCACTTGTGGTAGTTCTGCAATGGTGGCGTCTGACTTTTTGTGTGATTCTTTCTGCCGATGTGTGTCATGACGTATTTGTCGTCCTGTGCTCGTAATTGCTTGATTTATTCATTGGCTGACGCCGCACCGCCGACCCCTTGGGGCGGTAGTAAGAGTGACAAACGGAGTTTGCGGAAGGCGCGCGATGTCTGGGGAATCTTGGGTTTCAGCTTCTTGGGATTTCGTCGGGGGCGGTTGGCGGATCGCGGATCTGCACTTGGGCTTCTCTGGGCTCTCTTGGCAGCAAATTTGAGGTCTTTTGGGAGCTGTGTTGAGGCTTCTAGGGGCCTCTTTGGGGCTTCTCGGGGGCCTCGTGGGAGCCTCTTGGGGGCCTCGTGGCGCCGCCTCAGGTTTTTTCGGGGCCGAGTGCTCCATTCGGGTTCCCCCTCTGGGCCTCTTTTTGGGGCCGTCCTGGGGCCCTCCTGGGCCGATTTGGAGGCTTCTGGGGCCGTCTTGGGGCCCTCTTGGGCCGTCTTGGAGCTCTCTTGGGGGCCTCTTGGGCTATCTTGGGTTGACTTTGAAGGCTTCCTAGGCCGTTGTGGGCCTCGAGAAAGCCCAAGAGGTGAACGTGCTGAAAATATACGTTTTACCTTCGGGAATGGGACGAGATCTGCTTTTGGAGGGCCTCTTGGAACGCCTCTTGGTGGCTTCTTGGGGCGTCTTGGTTGCCTCTGGGGCTGTCTGGAGGCAATCTTGGGCGTCTTGGAGCGATCTTTCGGCGACTCGTGGCCCTCTTGGACCGTCCAGGGGGCCTCTTGGGGCCCTCTTGGCCTGTTTTGGTGCCCCCTGAGGCTCCCAGGGTGCAACTGGCACTTTTGCCCCCCCCCCCCCCCCTCCCCACCCCCCTCCAAACCGGCCAGACCGGGCTCCCCGGGGAGGGGTTTGGGGAGGGGGAAGCATCTCACACGCCGTCACCCCAAGGGGTCGGCGGGTTTGTGTGTGGTGAAGGAGGGGCTTCTACCGTAAAGCTCTCCAGATGCTGGTGTCTTTGCTCGTTCTGTCTTGTTGTGTGCTCGGCCTCACGTTGTGCTGCTTGTTCTTCTCGTATCGCCTTTTACTGGCTTGCGTGCGTAGCTCTGCTTGTCGTAGTGCTTGATTGTGCTCTCGTGTCTCGTGGTAGTCGTTGGACAAGTGGTCGTTTGCTGCTTGTAGTTGTCGTATGTTCTCTTCTGCTGATTGTAGTTGTTGTTGTGCTCTGGCCACCCTGTCCGTGTTTTGTTGAGCTGCTTCGAGTTCTGCCGTTGCCCAGTTGTTGATTTGGAGGTCGTCGTACGCTGCTTCGAGTCGTGCCTTGAGCTTCTGTGTCTCGTCGTCAGTGTCGGCGTTCGATGAGGTAGCCTTGGGTGGTACCAATGGTGGTTGCTCTCGTGGGTAGGAGTTGAGTTGCACGTCTTGTGCGCGTGGTGCTCGTGATTGTGGGCTGGGTGTGTGTTGTTTGTTGCCGACCAGCTCCTTCTCCAGATTGGCATACGTCTTAATCTTGTGGATGTTGTTCTCGTGATTCTGCTGGGCTTGCTTCAAGGTTGCTGCCGAACTCTTTGTACAAGCTGAGTAATCGTCTTTGATCTTACGGATGTACTGCAATCTTTCGGCTTCTGGTTTTTGGTCAAGTGTTTTTTTCCATGGCTGACAGATCGTAACGTAGTTGGTCTGCTTCTTGTCCTGCACTTTCCAGTGCCAGAATATGTGAAACGAGCTTCCTGAGCTTTGCTGCTCTGGATGTATTCCATGCTCGTACGTCGATTGGTGTGGCTCCAGGCGGGTCTTTGTGTCTGACGTCGATGTGGTAAGCTTTGGTATGCTGCCGATCAGGGACTGGTTCTCTCGTGTGGTGTATGCTGTGTGGTCTTGGTTGCTGCCGAAATTAGGTTGCGGTGCGTAGTCGCTGTTCTTTGTTGGTGTGGTTGGTGCTTCTTTTGGTTTGGGTCTTGGTGGTGTATTCCTGTGTTGTCTTGGGTTATGCGGCTGTTGTGACCAGTGTGGTGAGGTCGGTGCTGCGTGTGGCCGTACACTGTGTCGGCTTTCTGTCTGGTACCTGCTCTGCGCTGTGATGCTGGTTGAGTAGACGCTGTGCTGCTTGGAGCTGCCATTGTGTTGGTTGGTCGAGTAGGGTTCGCGCTGAGGCTGCCCGTAGTAGTGTGCGTGCTGCTGCGCGTTGTTCCCTCTCCCAGCGGTGCTAGGCAGGGTTGAGAAAAGTCGACGGAGTCGTGGTGCTCCTGCTTGCAACATGCTGCAGTGTATGGGGTCGTTGGCCGAAATGGCCCCGCGTGTGGTGCTCCTACGGTGCGGATGCCGAAGTCGTGAGATCGCAACGCGGATAGGAGGAGAAACACGATATGTCAATATGCAATAGTGGCCGAACGGGAATGTAACAGTATACATATGGGAAACGGATGTAATAGTAGATGGGTAGACAATGGTTTCGTGCGCGGCTGGACCTCTGTGGGCTTGCGCGCTTGGCCGCGGCTTCCTGGGCCCGCGGCTGGCCCCCTCCTTCCTCTTCCCCCTCCTCCCCCTCCCCCTCCCCCTCCTCCCCCTCCCCCTCCTCCTCCTCCTCCTCCTCCTCCTCCTCCTCCTCCTCCTCCTCCTCCTCCTCCTCCGCTGTCGTGGTGTGCGGAGGTGGGAGCGTTGCGTGTGGTGCGTCGCGCGCTCGCGCGCGCGCGCGCGCGCCGCTGCCCCGCCGCGGCGCGGTGTCGACGAGCTCGACGAGACGGGGGCGGGCCCCGCCCGCTCCACCCTCCCCACCTGACTCCTAGGGCCGGTCGCCCCTCGCGTGTGGACGTCTCCGATCCTGCCAGGCTTCTTTCACTGCCTCCCTCGCCTCCCCTTCACCCCCCCCAGCGTCCGTTTCGATCCAGTCGATCCGATTCGACGTCAATTTACGCCTGCCCGATCCGGTTCGATTTCGATATTCCGACAATCCGGTGCGGCCCGATGCTTGCATGGCGCCGTTGTGCGTCCTGGCGCGGCCGATCCGATTCGATTCCAGTTCCATGCCGATGCGGCCCGATTCGATGCACATTCCAATCCGATCTGATTTTCCGATTCGATTATGATTGATCTTCCCCCCTCCCTCCCGACTCCCAGGTCTTCACCTCGCTCGCTCTGTGGCTGGGGTGCAGGGTCCAGGAGGTGCTCTCCTTCCTCGGATCGAGAGCGCCGGGGTCGGTGACGTCGTACCTTCCCCGTTCCTCGCACGACGCGCTTGCCAAGACGTTCCCAACCCGTTCCCTCCCCACTTCTCAAGTTCTGTTGCATCTTCGGGGGACCTCGCCTGTCCCAAAAATTGGTGTCTTTTTGGGGGCCCGACGCGTGCTCGATGCGGACTCGACGCGGATGTGGCGTGGATTCGACGCGGATTCGACACGGATTCGGCACGGATCCGACGCGTCCGACATGGATTCGACACGGACTCGACGCGGACAGGGCCGCGACGGGACGGACAAGGTCCCCCGAGGATGCAACTCACCACCCACCAAACCACCCCAACCCAACCCGAAGGCTCAGATTTACCCTCGTTTTCCAGTGGGGGGGGGTCGGGAAGCATCGAAAAAACACGTGTGGGACCCTTACCCCCCCCAACCCGAAATTCGGGTCTTCGGGTTGGGTTGGGGTGGTCTGGTAGGTAGTCAGCAACATAACCCAAGAGGTCCCCGGAAGCGCAGCGCCTGGTCCGGAGCATGATGGCCTTCGACCCCAACGAGCGCCCCACGGCCGCCGAGGCGCTGGAGAGCAGGCGGGCCGCGGCGGGGAGCCGCCGTCCCTGCGCGCGCTGGCGCGCCTGCCGTGCGAGGATCGAGGGTCGAGGGTCCAGGGTCGAGGATCCAGGGTCGAGGATCGAGGGGCGAGGGGTGAGGGTCAACGATCGAGGGTCAACGATCGAGGGTCGAGGATCGAGGGTCGAGGATCCAGGGTCGAGGATCGAGGGTCGAGGGGCGAGGGTCGAGGATGGAGGGTCCAGGATCGAGGGGCGAGGATCGGGGGCTGGGGGTCGAGGATCGAGGCCGACGGGGAGGATCGAGGATCGGGGGCGCCGATCGAGGGCGCTGGTCGAGTGTCGAGTGCCAAGGCGCTCTCGATCATCGCCGGCGCGGCCTTTCTGAGCGAGGATCGAGGCCCAGGGAGAGGGCGAGGGCGAGGACGTCGCGGACTGGGACCGAGGTCGAAGACCCAGGATGAGTGCTGCCCACGCTACACTCTGGCCGTGTTGACGCGGCGTCGCCGCCGTCGTCGTTCATGAGGTTCCCAAACTTTGCCTCGACGTTTATCGGGCGCTCTTGGATCTCTGGAGGCTTCTGGATGCTTCCAGAGTCTGGACGCCTGTGAGGAGCTCGGGGGACCTCTTGGAGACGGAGGCGGGAGGTGCCGCGCTTCTGGGCATGCAGGGATCGATGTGGAACTCAACCGGCTGCCTCAGCTCGGCCAGTACCAAGCGATCTCCGATTTCGGAAAATGTCGATCGTTCTGGGTTGAACTATCCACGCGATTTCAGCAGCCAATGCCGACGTCATCGCGACGCGAGCTTTCCTTTCGAAGGGAGAGGGTCTAGGTCGACGATCGAGGTCGACGACCGAGGTCGAGGGCGATAATCGAGTGTCGAGGGCGAGGATCGAGGACGCAGGTCGACCATCGAGGGCGAGGGCGCCCTCGAGGGCCCCTGGCGCGACCTCGTCCGTACGAGGACCGAGGGCGAGCAGTGCGATGCCGCCGCGCCGTCGTGCTCGGCGACGAGGGAGCTTCAGGCCCCCGACGATGCCCAGCGACGACGACGACGACCAGCGACGACGACGACGACGAGCGACGAAGACGACGACGACGAGCTACCAGCGACGACGACGACGACGACGAGCTACCAGCGACGATGGCGATAGCGACGACGTTGTCGAGGTTTCTGAAGTTTTGTCAGCTCGTTCGGGCCCTCCAGCTGAGCGACGCAAAACGATGTGTTCGACTGCGCGGACATTTGCGCGCAAGTTTCCCGCCTGGCAAGCTTGCGTGTCAGCGCCCTCTTCTCCACGTGGTGTGCCACGCTGGCGGCCGGCATAAGCCACCGCGTACTCCAGATTTCACAATAAATGGGGGGTGGTCTGATTTGGGATGGGGTCAGATTTGAGCTGTCTTGGAGGGTTCCAGTGGGTCTGGGCAAAACGCCGCCCGTCATGGCTTGTTTGGGGGTGTCTGGAATTGCCCGTCTGTGAGGATTGTGACCCCCTCCCTTTTATTACGAAATCTGGAGTAAGGTCGCTATGTCATCCCGCGTAAGACCCGCTTCTTTCCGCCGCCCAGTCGAAACAGTTTTCGCTCTCGTCTCCTCCTCCTCCTCCTCCTCCTCCTCCTCCTCCTCCTCCTCCTCCTCCCCCTCCCCCTCCTCCTCCTCCTCCTCCTCCTCCTCCTCCTCCTCCTCCTCCTCCTCCTCCTCCTCCTGTGTCAGCCCTGGCAGGGAGGCGGCGTGCCCGCCGCACCCTGCGCGCGCTCGGCCGCGAGGCGGCACCGCGACGCTGTGCCGGGCCACGGCGTGCGTGCTCGTGTGCCTGGCACTCATTACCAGTTTGAAACACATCCCTATCCCTATGTTTGACATCACCTCACCTCGATGCCGATCTTAAGCGTTCCCTCCGTTTTTGAGGGCCTGTCCCTAAGATTGTCCTCGCGTTTTGCTCGCCCATCTTGGGGATAGGGATACGTTTGAGGCTGGTTAACTTATCATTGATGCTGGATGGTGTCGGGCCCTCGGGCGGCCTCTGGGCTTCGATGACTCTTGGATCTCCTTTCGGCCTTCTCGTCGGGCCTTACCTGTGCTCCAGAGGCGCCTGGGGGGCCTTCGGGGCACGTCCGGGGACCTGGGGGACCGCAGACCTCTGGCGACCCGGCCACTTCGCGCCGGAGGTTCTTCGTAGTTCATGGCCTGCGCGAGTCCTTTCTGGGCCCAGCGTAACCGTCAGGCAATGACCCCCATGGAAGGGGTCGAGAGATCAGGGGCCAGCACTTCGGATAGATCGAGCTGTCGGAGGTCGTATCCTGCGCCCAGGGAGTCAGCAGCCCCCCATGATGGTGGCTCGGATGGGTCTCAGTTGCAGGAGCGCGATGATGACCGTTTCTCGCGCTTTCAGAGGTCTTGGTATCTTGCGTCCAGGGAGTCAGAAGACCCATGGAATGGTGGCTCGGATGGGTCAGAGAGTGGCAGGAGCGCGACGATGACCATCCAGAGGTGCGGCGCGTGAACGCGAATACCACAGCCGTTTTCACACATCGGCCGGTGCGACTCTGCTCCATTGCGTGGTTGCCTGCTGAGACGTAGGAGAGGAGGGGAGACTAGGGTAGGGCAGGGAAGGGAGTAGTTGGAGGGGAGGATAAGGGGAGGGGTGGGATGGGAGTGGAGGGAGGGACGGAACGTGGGGGGTTCGGGACAGGCAGGGGACGGGGAGGGGAAAGCGCTGTAGTAATGCAGTGGGAATGCGTGTGTGCCAGACGCAGCGGTGCGAATCGTGAAGGACGGAAGGAAGGAAGGACAAGAAGGAAGGAAGTAAAGGAACGAGAGGAGCAGAGGGGAGGGAGGCGAGGGGATCGGAGGGGAGTGGAGGCAGCACGAGGGAGCCGAGCGAGGGGGGAGGGGGGAGGGCCTCAGGTGGTTCCACTTCGTCGGCGACGAGCCCCCGCGGGACCCGAGCCACGCCTCCGTGGAGCCCGCTCGCGCAGGCAGCGACACGAGGTCCCCGGCCGGCGCCTCGGACCCCTCGCCGCCCGCGGCGGACAAGCTGGCCCTGCCGGGCGAGCCCGAGTGA